AAATAGGGATCCTTTATGTAAAGAATTTCAATCTCCATCAGGAAAGAAGAAAGAGTCGCATTCCAATTCTTGGAAGTCTAGTAAAAATTATGACTCTGGTAAGGAATGGGGGGTTGACAGAAAACTAAACTTCGGGGGCTGGACAAACAAGCTCAAAGTAAAGTGGTTGGTCCAGTTGGGGAATTAATAAAGTTCAAACAAACGAACTACCGCCTTCAATAACACATAAAACAGAACAGGTAGCTCGGTGAAAAGCTTCCCTTCACTGGGCCTCGTCAAATAAGGATCCTCTACGTAAAGAATTTCAATCTCCATAAGGAAAGAAGAAAGAGTTACCTTCCAATTCTTGTAAGTCCAGTACAAATGATGACTCTAGTAAGGAATGGGTGGTTGACAGAAAACTAAACTTCGGGGGCTAGACAAACAAGCTCAAAGCCAAGTGGTTGGTCCAATTAGGGGAGTAAGTTTAAAATCCAATTGGTTTTACTTGATTTGGTTGGGATGAATCACTATTTACAATTAATTATAGCCAAACAGATTGTTTTCTACACCTTTTTAAAGAAATTGACGATTCTCTTAGTATAGAAACTAGAATTGTAACTAGTTCTAATGACGCTGATTTGTTATTTTTCAGATTTATACCCAAAGAGACAACATTTCCGAAATTACTGTGTAACACCAGTTTTCTGGACAGATTTGAATGCACCATGATATTCACAAACATTGGTGGCCAAGTACTCCTACCTAACCCACGTTTCACTCACAAGATCCACCATTATTTTAAAGTTGATTTCAAAAGTTGAGATTGTAAATTACAAATTGAATATTCAAAAGTTGATTTTAAAATAATTCCAAATGACAACAAAAATTCAAATAGTCATACTTTTCAATGAAATACAAATAGTAGGTCGTAACAACAAATGATGCATAGCTAAGTGAAACACAACATTGCCTACATAAGCTTCATTTTTTCACACATTGAGTAGTCAAATTGTGGAGAGACTTGTCAGTATATGCAGATAGATTGTGAAGTCATGTGACCTGGTGCACAGGCTTTGGTTTTCTCGATATTTTGCTAGATTATTTGATATACAGTGACAACTTATCTCAATTAAGAAAGTCACATGGCAACAGTGAATTCACTGATTTATCTTACAGTGAGCATGCCCTTATTTAGTTCATATATGCAGATGGATTGTCAAGTCATGTGACTTGGTGCACAGGCTTTGGTTTTCTCGATTTTTTGCTCGATTTTTTTATTACAGTGACAACTCATCTCTTATTGATATATGTGGGATTCTCAATTCAGAAAGTCACATGGCAGCAGTGAATTCACTGATTTACCTTACAGTGAGCATGCCCTTATTTTGTCCGTATATGCAGATAGATTGTGAAGTCATGTGACTTGGTGCACATGCTTTGGTTTTCTAGATTTTTTGCTCGATTTTTTTATTATAGTGACAACTCATCTCTTATTGATATATATGGGATTCTCAATTCAGAAAGTCACATGGCAACAGTGAATTCACTGATTTACCTTACATTGAGCATGCCCTTATTTTGTTCGTATATGCAGATGGATTGTCAAGTCACGTGACTTGGTACACAGTATTTGCTTTTCTATGCTTTTTCAGTCTAGTGACAACTCATACCTTATTCGTATATGTGGGATTGTCATGCAGGGGCATCTTTCTAAAGCCGTTCATAACCAACTATATAAACGACTAAAGGTGAAGACACAACCTTACAACTCATTTCGCCCTACGAAATTATTATTCATTTGTTTTAAAAAATTAGCATGGCTACATGGTTCATGGAAGAGAGTGGGAATCGCAGAGGTGGTAGGAACTTGCAAAGGGGTGACAGTTCACGACGAGGAGGGGGAAGGGGACGTGGCGATGCTGAAGACAATTCATAGGAGGGACTGGGAATACCTGTTTTAGATTATGCTTGTGGTTATCGTGATAGGTTTGGGAAACGACATTTTTTGATGCTCAAGTATTATCCAGTTCAATGAGGTTCATGTATGGATCCATCAGATAATTAAACAGGATGTGGTTTAGCAGACGCTAGACTTCTGAAGTGGCCCGCACTATTTATAGAGCGAGTGCAAATGGAAAGATCATGTCGGGAAAATCGACTGAAGGTGCCAAAAACACGTTCTGTTGAGATCCAAAAGGAAGATCTTGATAATGTTGATCGACTATGCGAAAGACTACAACATGAGATTTCTCAAATGGGCCGTAGGTTAGCCCGCAATATGCAGCTATACATAGTTAAGAAGGATGCCCAGAAGAACAGAACAGAATAGAACCAAATGTTGCGGCTATCAAGGGTATCATGGAGGATCCTGAACTTGTCTCTGACGCTGAGCTTTCAGATTATTCAGACTCTAAGCCACCTGCCGATTTAAGCGCGAATTAGGTGTTAATGTCTACACTTCGGCAATATTGGGTCATGCATTAATATGTAATGTCTGTGTTAGACTAAGTACAACTGTTATGTTATGTTTATGTTTATGTATTGTGTCTGTCAAATGTTGCGGCTATTAATATGCAATATTAGGTCATGAATTAGGTGTTTGTCTGTCTAACTGTTATGTTTATGTATTGTGTGTTCAGTTCAGGGTGTCCAGGATGTATGTAATGTGTGTTCAGTTCATGGTATGCAGAATGTATTTTTGTGGGAGACTTATGTCTGTACTACCTATGTAACTGAAAACTATTACATTTACAACTTCAGTTATGTTGTACTATCAAGTTTGGGTGTAGGGATTAAGGCAAGAATCCAAGGCCTACAAGTACATAATAAAACCCCATTGAATGCATTTCAAGAAGACAAGAAGAGATGCTTAAAGATGGATATGAAATGCATTCTTAAAACAAGCTTTGCCTGAGTGTAAATGGTCTCGGCATTTCTTTCAAACTAAGTCAAGACAAACAAAACATGTGCTGGGAGTTAAAACTCTGTTTTTCATCTCGGGAAAACATGTTGGGTACCAACCAGGTCTTGGCTGAGGTCATACACCTCTTGGCCGATGTATGGTCTCCTAGGCCTAGGTGCGCATACAAGATAACTAAAGTGCAGGTGATCATGCAGGGTAGGCCGATGTGAGATACGATGCTTGGCCTAGATGTGATATCTAGGCAAGAGTGGGTCTCAGTGACCACACTTAGGGAAATGAGGTCTGGAAATTTGGATTTCCCTCTTGATGAACATGAAGAACATGAAGGACAAGAACATAAAGAACATTAATGCTAAAATCATAACTTCTTTATTCAAAATCTGAAATTTCATGAGATGAGTTCGAAAACATGGACTTGGGTATCCATACTTGAAGAGCTTATGAAAACAAACACAAAAACATGGATCTTGATACAAACTTTCGGATCAAAACATGGTTTTATTTCAAGAACACAAGAACATCCTTTCCTCTTTCTAAAACAAGCTTTAACTGAAAACTATTACATTTGCAACTTCAATTATGTTTGTCTAAATTTTATTTTTTTAATGAAAACGGGTACAAAACGGTTTTACTAAACTGGTCTTCTGAATTACATTCCCACCTTGTAACCCAAAACAAAGACAAAAGAATAAATATATACATTTAAATGAAAACGGCTTTAGTAAAGCCAAAATAATTTTCTAAATAACACCTTCTAACCAAAAACAAAGACAAAAAATATATATATATATATATATATAACACAAGATACTTTCAAAAAAAATTTCATGACAACGGCTTTAGTAAAGCAAAAAAAAAAATTATTAATTACATTATCACCTTCTAACCCAAACCAAACACAAAACAATAAACAAAAAAAATTTACATGAAAACGGCTTTAGTAAAGAAATTTTTTTTTTCTGAATTACACTTTCTAAACCAATACAAAGACAAAAGAAAAAAAATAAAATTTAACATTAGAACGGCTTCAGTAAAGCCAAAAAAAATTTATGAATTACATTATCACCAAAACAATGACAACAGAAAAAAAAAATTTACAAAAAAAAATTAAATATAATTTAAATGAGCAGTGAAAGCCTGGTTTCAATCCATGCTTACTGTAGTGAACAATGAAAGCATGAATTTTGTAAATGAACGTGATTGGTTTAATAATATCTAAATGAACATGATTTTAAAATTATATATATGAAAAATATTATGTAAAATTAATATATGAAAAGAGGCTTTTCCTATAAAAATTTAAATGATATATAAATTGGCTTAATTCCCAATGTTTGGTAATTAGTTAAAAATATTATGTAAAATTAATATATAAAGAAGAGGCTTTTCTCATATGATGTAACACAAATTAATATATGAAAAGAAGATGTTTTTCCCATCTTATGTAAAATTTCTGAATTACACCTTCTAAACCAAAATAAAGACAAAAGAAAAAAAAAAAAAAAAATTTAACATGACAAATGGCTTTAGTAAAGTCAAAGAAAATTTATGAATTACATTATATCACCAAAACAATGAGAACATGAAAAAAAACAATATATTAAAAAATAAATAAATAAATGAACAGTAAAAGCGTGGTTTCAATCCACGCTGTTACTCCTCAACAGTGAAAGCGTGATTCCAAATAGCGTTTTCTGAAGAAAAAATAATGCACAGTGAAAGCGCTATTCCAAATAGCATTTTATTCGCAAAAGATAATGCACAGTGAAAGCGCTATTTCAAATAGCGTTTTCTTCAGGAAAAAAAATTATGTTAAAAGCGTGATTTGGAATCACGCTTTCTTAATTAAAAGCGTGGTTTGCAATAACGCTTTCACTATTCATGACATTTTGGGTCCAAACAGTGAAAACGCGATTTGTAATAACGCTTTAACCTAGTTTAAAATTTTCGTCCAAAGTAGACCTAATTTAAAAATTAAGCTACAAATTATAATATGGGAAAAGCCTCTTTTATCTTCTCAAAGGAGCTTAATTAACTTCTTCTTCTTCTTCTTCTTCTTCTTCTTTTTTTTTATAGCTTAATTAATTAATTTTTTTTTTTTTTTTTAATCCTAACCAAACTCAGCCTAAGGCTTGGTGCGAGTTCAGATCCTCTGCAGTGGTTGCGTGGAGTGCACTACCCAATCGAGGTCGAAGTTGGAGAGCGAACGGCGAACAAAGACGACGGGCGGGAACGGTTCGTTGAGAAACCAGAACTCAATCAATTATGACACCAGTTACACAGAAGCTCTACACAGGTCTCTCTCTCTCTCTTTCTCTCTCTCTCTCTCTCTCTCTCTCTCTCTCTCACTATATATATATATATATGTATATATTCATTATTCATATTTTTGTTATATGTATGTATGTATGTATGTATGTATAATGCAATTGATTGTTCATGTTGGTCTGTCTGTGTAATTGCACAGATGATGTTAGTCTTCTCATGGTCTTACTCGACACAAACCCTTTCTTCTGGTCCACCTCCAAATCCACCTCTCTCTCTTTCTCCAATTTTCTCTCTCATGTAAAATCTCTAAAACCCTCTCTCTCTCTCTGTAAAACTAACTAACCCCCAATTTCCCCCCAATTCATCAATCTTCATTGTTCTCTACAGGTCCTCGCATTCTTAAACTCTGTTCTCCTGTTGAACCAATTCAACCAAGTAGTGGTGATTGCCACTGGCTTCAACACCTGCGATTACGTCTATGATTCATCGTCCTCGCCGACCAATCAGAGGGCCGAGACTTTGTTGAGGAAATTTGAGGAATTTGTGGTTAAAGACGAGCAATTAAGCAAGGAAGACTCGGTCCATGGGATTGGGAATTCACTGCTATCTGGGTCTTTGTCAATGGCCCTTTGTTGTATCCTTAGAGTAACTCTAATGGTGAAAGCCAAAATGGCTAAAAAAAGAGAGAGGCTATTTTCTTACCTATGCCACTCCTATGGTGAGCAGCTCCAATGATTCAATAGTTAAATGAATAGTGTCAAAATGATGTAGTTTAGCGATGTTGATCCGATGTGTAAATGCTATTTCTTCTATTTTTCTGTCAAAATGCCAAACATAAATGCTATATGTGGGTCCATCATGAGATGTAGAAACAAAAGGGCTTGTTGAATTTTAGCAATAGCTAAACCTTGTGCTAAATTTGGCACAATGTTTAGCAATGCTAAAATATAGCACAAGTTTAGGTAGTCATTGGAGAGCTCAAAACTGAGGTTCTTGCTATTTTTTCAGCAACAGCAAGCCTTTTAGCCGGGATGCACCATGTTATTTTGGCACAACTGACTCCTATATCCATTTTTGACCATTGGATCTATTTCTCAAAAAGTATCTAGTGATCATGACTGTGACTACTATATAATGGATTTGGCTCAAGGACTTGGCACACCATTGGTGAACTTTGTTTTGCTTGTTTTTATACATATTGTATAAATTATTGTTTGATTTAATTCAATGGAATAGATATACAGCGGGTGTTTCGTTCTGGGTCACTTCATCCACAACCTCGAGTGAGTGCTTTTATTTATATGCATAGTTAAACAAATATGCTGACTGAAGTTATGTATATTGATTGATCCATCAATGTCTAATTATGTTCTTTCTGGGAAATTAGGATCCAGTGAGTGTTATACTTTTATGCATAGTTGAACAAGTAACTTGACCGACGGAACTTGTTTTCATTGATCCATCATTGCCTAGTTATGTTCTTGACTTCTTGTTGGGGGATTAGGATACTTTTCAATGTGCTTTCATGTGGATTATGTGGTGATATCGTGGCATTGTGTATATAAAGCATTTTGGCTTTTGCATTCTAATAATGCCATTATCTATAAATTACTTTGTTGATTGAGTTCTCTTTGTATGGCCTTGGACTGTCAAAATTTTCCCCGTCTATCATGATATGTACAGAAAAATTCACACATATTTTAATGCGACATATTATAAAAAATGCTTCATATGTGGTGCACCCACTTAATTGTATTTGTATTATGAAGCTACAATTTTCAAATTTAGTGTTAAGGTTTGAAAGTTTTGATAGGGAACTTTTTCACATATGATTTTGTCATTAGAAAGCATCTTTAGGTTGGAAGAGAAAATTTAGCTCTTGTTAAAATAACTGGAGTGGGCTCTACCAACAACAACCCGAAGGGATGATGTTAGTAAAATCCTGTCTCTTTGAATGTGTTATTTGTGTATATATTTTAAGATTCTATTCATTAGTTGTTGTCATTACCTATTCTCTGTTGCTTTGGTAGCGTGTATTCTCTAACGAGATTACTAATATGGTGGCAGATATTGTGTTTGCATGGATCCCCTGATGGACCTGGACAGTATGTTTTTATGATTTTCTTCAATATCTACAATATTTTCTCGATGATATATACTTAGACAGGTTTTCTTATTCACAGATATGTTGCAGTCATGAACGCAATATTCTCTGCTCAGCGTTTAATGGTATTGTGTACTATACAATTGAGATTTTTTTTTTTTTAATAAATAAACTTGAGATATTTTCTCCTCATTGTTTTACTTTTATCAACTTGTTTTAAGTGGAGTGGAGAACTCAAGTGTTTTTTGTGTTTTGTTTTTAATTAATATTTGTGTTAGTGCTAGTACTTAACCTTTGATTAAACCATGTAGTGCGAAATTAGGGGTTATTGTCAAAAACTTTTTTAGGTGAACTAGACAACCGAAAATTGTCTCTATGGTTTTCTTTTTGTTGTTCTGTTGCTGCAGCTGTGGTTCCCACAATTAATTTTGCTGGGCTAACAGATTATACTTCTATTTGTCATTAATATGTGAAGACGAGAATTTATCTACAAAAAAAAATGTGAAGACAAGATTGGGATTGCATTTTAATGCTATATAAGTTCGTGGATATAATAGTATTATAAGCTATACATTATTTGTTAGAATTTCCCATCTTTACCTTCACCTACTCCACTACACACTCCACTTCACCTACCTCCACTTCACCACACACTCCACTTCACCTAACCCACTATCACCTCCACTACACCTACTACCACATTTTCTTCTATATATAGATTGTATAGGAATTGTAATGAAATCAATCTTGTAAAACATCAACAAAGCAATCAATAATACATATATTTCAACATTATTGTTATTAATCTTTTAACATGAAACTTGAAGACTGATAACAGTAATGTATAGATCTATTGCACTAATAATTTTAACATGAACTGTGAAGATAGATCCAATGTAACGTATATCCAATATTGTTTCTCAGTTGGAAAGAAATATCCTTTTAATGAGGCATGCATTTACGCTTTATGTTAAAGGGGTCTTTGTACTTCTTAACTCAATTCACCAAAATTTGCTTTTTGTCAAAGGAATATGGGTTAGGAACTGGATAAAATTTGAAATAGCATCCACAATCCAAGTTTTAAAATATTTATTTTGGTAGAAGATTTATTAATCACAAGGAGAGAGGGTTACAAATTATGAAGCACGGATACTTTAAATAGGGTGACGTATCCGTATCGGATACTAATACTCCTTGGATATTCGCGGATATGTATCGGATACTTATTAAAAGTATTGGATGCTTCTTAATTATTTTTTCATTAATTTTGGAGTATCGGATACTTAATTTTGAAGTATCGGATACTTCAAGTCATGTTTACTTGTTTTATGAAATTAGAATTGTAACATTTCTTACATAGTAATATAATATAATATAATTGCAAGTACAAATATAAGAATCTTTTTCTAATACTTTGTTAAGTTCTTCGATAAGAAGAGTATAGTAAGTTAAATAATAGAATTTATCAAACTGATGTATCCTAATTATTTCATGCATGTCCCCTATAACTACATAGAAAGTAAGAACTAACAAGAGAATATAACAATGGTAAAATTAATTATCAATAAATAAATAAGCAAGTAAACTTGAATACAATATTTTTCACTAGTGTCAAAGGAAAAAGCAAAGGGACAAGTTGTGAATTGTTCTATTATTATAATATAAATATGTTAAACTTGATATTGAAATGAAATATTTGCAGGACCTATTAAAAATTTAAGAAGTAAACAAGCTACTAGCTTAAATTAATACAAAATTCTTTAAAGTTAATATTTTGCATTATAAAATTACATTGTGATTTCTCAACGTTCTTTAGCTTATGTATAACTCACTATTAATAATTTTAAAAAATATATTTTTCACAAATGTATCCTAGCTGTACCGGTATCCTATTTTTTAAGTTTTGTCGTATTGCCGTATCCGTATCGTGTCGTATCCGTATCTCGTATCCATATCTATGCTTCCTAGTGTCAAGAGTTTGAGGTCAAAATGCTAGCTAAATGAATGCATTAAATTTTGAGAATGCCCCCAAACATGCCAAATGAATGAAGCAAATCCTGAGAATACCCCCAAACATACCACCATCTTTAGTGACTCATTAGTTTCCGCTGTCACCGATGTTGCCACTGCTATATTTCTAGACTTTTGGTGACCATTATTTTCCGTCACCTCCACCATCCACCAGCAGCCCACATTCGCCACTGCCCCCATCACCTCCATCAGTGCTAGCTCCTTATTGTGATTGCATTACTGCTATCCTTTTCAGCATGATTTTCACGATCACTCATTGTGCTACTACTAATTTCATTACCACTTCGATTAACCATTATAATTCCAACTTCTGGATCTAATGGACTGAGATAAATTGAGAGGAAGTGTTGAGCTTCATTTCGTCATGTATTTTCTTTCAGTCTTGCTTTGCTTCTGCATCCACAGAACTGGATTTTTTCTTTCGGTAAAAGATCTTTTAGAGATTTATTGTGAATTCTATATTCTTTACATGTTTGTGAAAGGATTCCCCTCCCCTTTCTGTATTTCTGGTGATTGGTTAGGATTGGTCATTTTAACTTTTGATCAACCAGACTCAAGGTGAGAAATTTATCATGCATGAAGGCCTTTAGATATGCCTTTATCAAAATAAATAAATAAATGTATGTTATTTGTGAGTTACTAATAAGATTCATTTGGTTATCCCAACAAGTAAATATTATCAATTTGCTTCCAACTGCAGGTACCAATAGATTCTTGTGTGTTAGGGGTACAGCATTCTGCTTTCCTTCAGCAGGTAGCATATATTTATCATTTTATGTACATTCCTACTGCCAAATGTTACAATATTGACACGAGCTCTTTGTTCATTTACTGAATGATAGTTATTCATGTTTGTGCAACAGGCTTCTTACATAACTGGGGGTGTGTATCTCAAGCCCCAACAACTAGATGGGCTTTTTCAGTATCTCTCGGTGGGTTTTTGACTTAATTGGCAGTATGGATGCAATTCAGTCTTGTGATTTTATCATGTTATATCATATTTTATTTTGTCAAATTAGTAGCTTCCTTTCCTCCAGTTTAAGATTTACAACTGTAATAGTAGGTAAGTGTGGTAAATGGTTATCTTTCAGTTCATCTTTTACTGAGGAAACAGTTCTTGATTCTGTATGATATTCTGCCTTTATTTTTCATTCTCTGATACCAATGTGAGATTGTTGTTACACGCAGACAGTATTTGGGACTGATTTGCATTCTCGCAGATTTTTACAACTACCTAAGCCTGTAGGAGTGGATTTCCGTGCCTCGTAAGTTATCATTGGCAATTTGTTTGTTTGTAGTTTATGTCGATTTTCAACATGAATGCACTTCTTTTGTCTTTATTGCTTCATTTTAGCAGCCAAGTTTACTCTTAGAAATTGTTTCTTTTCTTTATTTATTGTCCACACTCGCTATTCAATCTTAAATGCTAGCTAGGGTACACATATATGTACACACAACTATTGTCACTACTTTTTCTTCAGCCTCTCTCCCTCTCTAAGGATGACCCACATATCACCATTTTGTATCACCCTTTTGGGGCCTATTCCCAGCAATTGCCATCATTATGGTCAACCCACATTCCCTTTCACAACCACCATCTAATTTAACCACAACTGTAGCCTAATTTCACAACTTGCATCTTAGCTTACCAATCCATCATCCACATCATCCTAATTTCAGCAACACACCATCCAACCACGAGTTTAAAAATGTCCCCAGAACCAATGCATAAATGTTATACATCCGTTGTCTAGTTGTCTTTCCCCCAAACATCAAAGGAGGCTGGTGAAATTTGCCCCTATATGATTGCTTAACATTTAGGATGGAGCACATCAGCAGCTTGCGCTCCTATGCCAAAAGGCCTCTTTTGTAGGGCAGCCTTTTACTTAACTAAAGTGAATGAGGCAGCCTAAATTGATTAACGTTGACTGGTGTGAAATACACTCTTCCATTCCTCTCAGTGTACCTTGGTGTATTGGTATCCATAGGATATGATGAGAGTAAGGATATCGGTTGTGTGTCCAACATTAGTACCCAAATAGAACACTATGATCCTCAATATTTGGAGGAGGAAAAGTTTGTATGTGATTCTAAATAAAAATTTGTGTCCTCTCACATGGATGGGGAATAGAAATCTCATTTCCCCCAAGTCCCATGTAATCTTAATTATATTCGTGAATAACATCATTTTATGTCAGAAAATATATAGTATACGATATATTTAAATGTGTTAACATGTTCATGTATCTGTACCCAACTTTTGGATACATATCCCAATATCAGAAGATTAATGGTTTAGGGAGGTCCAATGCCTAAACACACACCTGCGTCAAATACTCATACCCAATTCCATGTACGATGTAACATAGATGTTGACTTTAGGATTTTTGGTTGAGAAAATAAGACCAATTTTTTGGAATTGAAGAATGTTAAAGTGGTTGTGCTTTGAGATTTTTCGAAAAAAGGATTAAAAAAAAAAATTGGTTGTACTGAGGCTATTTTTGTTAAGAAATAAAAAGGAATGGCCCGTTGGAATTTCTGCCTGAAAACAAAAACCAAAGTTTTTAGAGTTGGAATAACAGGGTAATAAGGGCCAGATCAGGGTTTTTAGGATCAAATGAAGATTTTGAGGATAAAATAGGGTCTGAGGGGCTGATTGTGCCTATTAATTATAAAAGAATAGATTTTTTTTTTCCCTTTTTGATAATTAAAAAGAAGTAAAAAGAGAACGTAAACCAAAAATACAATGCATGGCTCTTGCAGGGCATTTACTCTCTCTTTTTCTTCTCAAATTTCATTTAAGGTTTGATTTACCTGCCTAAGATTGGGTTCACTGGAATTGCCAGGTCCACTTTCCATTCAAGAAGGCACTTTTGATGTCACTGATTTTTCTATGAAATGTTAGTTGTGCTGGTGTTTGGTATCTGAACTTATCTGTTTTCCCTAATGCTGTTTTCTCTGGTCATTTTCCATTTTAGTTAGATTAGGTGATTATTTCATGCCACTGAACATCAGTTATAATTAAGCAACAATTTTGATTTTGCTGTTCTCTCTCTCTCTCTCTCTCTCCTTTTTGTGTGTGTGCGTGTGTGCGCGTGTGCATGTGCGTGTTTTCTCTTCCCTGCATGCAGTATCTATTTCTGTTTTTACATAATTGCCACCTTGTGAAAGGATAATCCTTATCTCCCTTCAATAAGGTTCTTATTTGTTTTTGTTTTTGTTTTATGCCCTTATTCATGCACTCATTTGCAATAGTTGTTCCTCATGTTCTATTTCTATTAGTTATTGCTACAAGTCTTACTGAAATTCTGAAACTTGCAGGTGCTTTTGTCACAAAAACACAATTGACATGGGCTACATATGCTCTGTTTGTTTGTCTATATTTTGTAAGCATCACAAGAAATGTTCAACCTGTGGGTGAGTACCTATACTTTTACATATTTAATTATTAAGACACTGCTTTGTTGTGAATGAGTTTTGGTCCATTATTTTCCTTTATATTCTGCAGTAATTTCAAATCTGTAGTTGAGGTAGCCTCCTACTGTCCTTGTTTAATTCTATATGTTTGTTGTACGCTTGTACTGTTGCCAAAATTTATTACCTGTAGTGGTTGAAAAGCTGAAAAATGTCCTCCAGTATTCGTTCATTACCTTCATTGTGATTCTACATGGTTTCAAAATTTCGCTGTTTATTTTTTTCCTTCTCTTTATTGAGTACCTGGAAAATTTGGCTGCTTATTTGTCATGTAGTCTTGTTATTGTTTTAACTCCCAATTTTTTAATTCCTTTGTTCTCTTTGATGAAAAATTTGGCTGCTTATTTTTAGCCTCCCATTTTTTATTTTTTTTTTCAAAATGTTGAGAAAGGAAGTGTGTGGATCCACTTTTACTTCCAAAGGGAAGAAAAAAAATTAAAAATTGAAAAGGAACCCGCGATGTGAAATTTTTTGGATTCCATTCTTTGTGGAATGAGGAGTTTGTTGCTGTGGTGATATTTAAAATTAAAGGCACCTGGTTGGGAATCATTGCAGGGGCTGTATGCATTCTTGAGTTTTTGCTTATCCATGGACTATTGCTATTGTCTGGGATGGTAGGGGGTTTCCTCATGGGATATTGTGGTTGTGTGGACTTGATCTTTAAAACCAAGGTTTTGCTCTAACATTACATACAGCTCAAGTTTTTCACCAGCCTTAAGAACCTGCACATTTTGACATCTATGGCTTTCCAACTATCTCCTACACGAAAAAAAAAAAAAAAAAAAAGAGGGAAAAAAAAAAAAAAAAAAGAGAGAGAGAGAGCAATTGGTGATTTTTTATTTTATTTATTTATTTTAATGAGCACACTTGGTATCAGAAAACAACTATGGGCGATGATGTGTTTGAGCTTTAGCAAAAAAGTTACTCATCTAGTTATTTTATGGAAGTCAATTAACTACTGCAGCTTTCTTAATGTTGCAAAAAAGATTCTGAAAATACTTTGTATTCGTCAAAGACAAACCTTTGCCCTAAATGCTTATTCCTGTGTGATATACCTCTTCTAATTCTTGGCCTTGACAACATTGGAATGCAGGTCAGTTTTTGGTCAGGCTCAAACAAATGCTCCTTCAACGTCAAATCAGAAGAGAAAGACTGCAGATACATAGTTTTACCCTCCTAAGAGTGTAAGTAGTTCATTTGCTGTGGTTGAATATATAAAAACGTTGCGTAGACACTTTATTTGAATTTTCCAATATTTATTTGGCAAGTTGGTTGGAAAAATGTATACTTTCAAACCCAAATTGGGTATTGTGGCAGATATTGTGCCAAGATGAACAGAGAGGATCGTGGTAATTATTTTTGCTGATTTAGAAAATCCAAGCCAGCTTGAATGTGGTTCCAGCCTCAACTGTCTGAATGTGATTGGTTGATTGTCGCATCTCAGGAGTTCTTTTTGCCCCACTTCATTCAATGATCGTCATCAGTGGGTGCTTGAAGATACGAGATGACACCATAATCATACTTCGTTGGAGGGCATTTTATACTTCAGTTTTTTCCAATCAATAGGAGGGTTTTTTTTTAAAGGTGAAAGAATTTATTAGATGCTACCCTCACTTGTTAGACTAGAGTTGGATTTAGCATTTTAACATTTGACAATTCCAATTTTTGTATGTTAGAGATTCTATGGATTTTTGGTTTATTTTAGTTCATATGAACATATTTGATGATATAGGCCGCATTATGAATGTTTTTTTACAAATTACATCTAGTTTAGCAACATTTTTTTTTTAAATGTCTCGGGTGTGGGTCTGTCAGATTGTGATGCAAATTGATGGTAAAAGAGTAAAAATTTTCATATATGATGATGTAATTTATTTTGATTGTATCATTTCAAATCAAAACATCAACTATTTTGACTTAACATCTTAAAAATGCCAGTCTGTAAATCATTTTTCAACAGAGAACACAGAATAACACACGAGAGGCAATGTGTTTGCTTCGTAGAGATCGAAAGAGACTCAAGCAGATGAGACTATCATATGACATTAAATGAAAATGGCTCTTTTTCTGGGTTCAAAACAAAACACCAATAGAGTAGAGTACGTGTGACTGACTTTGGTCAAGCTGTTCAAATCTTGATCGGTTTTATATAGAGGACTCACCTAGTTTATCAATTCCAATTTCCAACACCAGCAATATCATCTCTTCCATAAAACCTATCATCGAGCATGGGGATATAAAATAATGCAATTATAAATTTTGAAAGTAGGGTCAACAACAAACAATCCAAACAAATTCTGCAAATTGTGCAGATACAATGCCAACATATTTTACAATTATTTACAAGTCTATGCAGACTAGACTTCCGACTAAACGTAAAGTTTCACGGGTCCATCACGTAGAGACATCGAGAAGTCACAAGCATTTACAGGGTTTGGCACATTCATATTGTCGAGAACAAGGAAACCATCTTCAGAGAGCCTTCATAACAACTTTGCTGGTCGTATGAACTCCCACCGTAGCAAGTTTCAGTATGGCACGGGTGTTGTACAACCTGCAAAAGCACAGATAATTTCTTGTTACACAAAACTGCTAATTTCTCTCCATATCATGGCTAGATAATGTGCCATGTGGCTAACCAGTGTAAGCATGTAAACAAGTTGCAGTTCTGGAAATAGGCATACTGTGGACATCATCAGTTCATATTTCAATTCCCAGACCAGATTTCAAAACAATAAGACAATTGAACACCACAAATTTCATTGATTTCACAAGTTTACTTAAACACTAAAATTTGGTAGTGGCTCAAATTGATCAAAAATTGAAACCTTAAGGGGAAAAAAGAAAGTAACGGTGTTTTTTTGCTTCAACCCTCATGCAAATGGAGCTTTTCATTTTCACCATTAGTACTTCCAGTACTATTTAGCCTTTGCTACAATGTTCCCTTCTATTTTTTTTTATCTTACAACAATGTTCCCTTCTATTGTGAACTTTGATATTTTAAAATCCTTTACATAATATTACAACATTCCCTTATATTAATATTTTCTGAAAGGCGTGCACAAGCTAAGACCCTAATGCAGCCTATGTGGTTCGATAATTTCTTTCTTTATCATCCTACAAAGCACTCTGTCCAGAGACAGTTTAATCCAGTTAGTCAGAACAACACATTATGTTTGGTCAAGTATTGATGTACATTGCATAACCAAAACTATTGCTTGTTTTAAACTTCCAGACCAAAAATTAAATATATCTTTGTAATCAAAGATACTTGAAGTAAATTATTTCTGGAAAATGATGTTTATATCCATGGGGTCTGTATTGGACCCATTTGGTCTTGAGGGCAAGCAGGAAAATGAAGAAAGAGAATATGTTAGATAATTACTCACCCTGCTAGAGCAAGTCCCCAGGTGGCCAAGGTACAAAACATAGTCCCAGCATGCCAAATATGTAACATCTTCTCAAACTTGTTCATGCCGCCCAATGCTTTGGTCAGAGCTGCAAGTTCAGATTCATGTTAAGAAATCACCACCAGCATCAAACAACACGGCTATGAATGCGAGAGCAAGTTCTTTTCTTTCAACAATTTCAAAATGTCCCAATAAAACTTCTCGACAAATTTTTGTTTTGTCCCAAAAATTAAAAAAAAAATAATGGTTCCATTTCAAACCAAGATACAAATAAGAAACCACTTAGCGAGGATATTAACAATTGAACTTTTGAATATTTTATATCTACCAATAAGATAGCTGGGAAAAAGTCACAAAAATCATAAAATCCAAATGATCAAAATAATTAATTTAAAGGGCAGCTTACTTTTCTGCAACTCCTCAGGTGACATACTCTGCAACTCCAGGGAACAAAAACAATGTTAGATGCATGCTATTTTATTTCACAAATGAAACAAGAGCAAAATATTCTGGTTGTTATATACCAGAGTTTTTGGGTTTGAGAGAATGCATCTAGCCATAAAGTTGGCAACCCCATCAACAACATGTTCCTCGCTAATAACTACATAACTTTCATTGTCAATTCCACTCTGTTCTTCAACATCACTAGGAAACATTTCATCAGTGACCCAAACCCACCAACTTGGTTCTCCAAGGGAAACATTAATTAGTATTTCAGCTGACTGTAAATCCGCTCCTAAGAAAAAAACCAAACCAAGTAACCAGCAATCAACAAATTGACCAAACACAAAAAAGATTTCAAAAATGGCATTAACACAATAATTAGATTGTCAGTAGAAGGGGAAGAAAAAAACAAAAGAACCTGAGGACTCCTTGAAAGGAAATTTGGGGTCAGTTCCACCGACATATTCATGATGGAGGGATTTAATCTGAGTCAAGAACTTTTCAGAATCCAGAGTGTCCACGAGACGATCATATAGCTGCAGGTGGAAAACAAACAAGTAACCAAATTTCGCCCACTTTCTAGATAAAAATCACAACACATCAAAATCATAATTCCATCGATCATTTGATTGAAAAATCTCTGTAAACAAATTGTGCTAGGAGTAGTGAGAAAGAGAAAATACACGATGCATTTCATGGAATTTCAAAACTATTCACCAAAAAAACAAAACTTGGACCCAAAATAGTAGAGGGGTATAATGAACTTGGCTACATATTACAAGTATTAAACATGCAAACAAACATTGTTGCTCTCTATATTTTCCTACTGTTGCGATTGTAATAGTCTTCTATCCTAGCATCAATTCCAATATCAGATCCAAACAAATCAAACTAAGCCTTGTGTCCCAGACCCCTCAATAAGGTGAGATCAATTATATGAATCTTTTTCACCATTCCACTCTATCAAGGCTATATGGTCGGTTAAATTAAATACATTCAAAACCTTTTTACTACCACAACACATGTCAATTTAGATCTTCCTGTCCCCTAACATTTCTATTTACGATAATCAAAACCTACACAGGTTTTTGTTGTACACAACTAACTGTCTCTTGACTTGCTATTCATACATACCATTTCACGAATTATTCAATAACTTGAAACTGCAAGAAATTAAAGTTCATATGAATATGCATCATTATCAACTCTTCCTTCCAAAACTTTTATTAGTTGTTTAGACATTAGAATTGGGGTGCCTATAAAAGTCCATTTTTTACCACCCCTAACCACTCCACTAAGCAAAATTAAAACGCAGAAGACAACTCAATCATATAACAATGTTAATGATTTTCATATGCAAAAATCCAATTTCTAAACATTTCGCTAAATCCAAATTATTAAACAAAAATCTTTACTTTTTGTGGGACTTTGATCAATAAAAAGTCAACCGATTGATTATCGAGTTTATATATATCGAATTAAACAATAGATACAGAAACACATAAATTCGAAGGTTCAACTATTGGAACAAAATTACAGGTGAATTCGCTTACATCGGGAGGGCAATCTTCTAATAAACAAGGAGATTCGGAGAGATTTTGAAGGAGACTGAGGTTCTGTTTGAGCAAGTCCCTCAGGCGGCTATTCTCGGATCTTAGAGACTCCAATTCTTCCTCCGACGATGGAGGAGCAGCCGCCGCGCCCGCGTGCTTGTCGTGATGGTGGTGGGAACGTTCCACGGCGGTCCAAGCAACATCCGCCACCTCCAACACCGTCTTCGCCACCTCGATCGGGTGGTGAACCACCATCTTCATCTGTCTAAAATGTGCGTGAGATATATCTCTCTCTCTCTGTATATATATGGATTGTGGATTTTGGAGCTAATTTGGGTGTTTTTGCAGGTCCAATTGTGGAATGGATCGAATTGGTTCGGGTTAGAGAGAGACTTAGAACCGAACAAATCCGATTATAGTCAACTTGGTTCGGGTTAAATCCTAACATTATATTGCAATATAAAAAGTTTTAAAATTTTCATTTACTTTTTTAATTAATATTATTTTTTAGCAATTATTTAAACAAAAAAAATTATAAATTAATTAATATTATTTTTTAGCAATTATTTAAACAACAAAAATTATAAATAAAATTATTATAAAAGATGATTTGTCTAGTGGTGTTCAAATGATTTTTATTAGTTTTTATTTCGAAATGATAGAACCGTATGTAAAAATATAAATATAAATATAAATGTTATTAGAAATATTTGAAACCTTGTTTGTATTGTAAATTTGATAAATTCTAACTAACTTAACTAAATTACTTTTTATCAATTTAGTTACTATTATAAAATGTATATTTCATATTTTTGTTACATAAAAGTTATTGATTTTTATAGTTCAGTTATAGTATAGTTACATAGGTTTAACGATTTACAATTTAATTTTTTTTTGGAATTGTATAGACTGGTTCGATTCTTAATTTACTTTAGCTGTAGATCAATTTGATCCGTTAATACTTCTAAATTTGTCAACCTAGGGTCATCCCTGGCCCACAGTGAGTAAGGCTTTGCTCGCCTTGGTTCGAGTTGAAAACGAGCTAAGTCGAACTGAGTAATATATTGTTCAAAACTTAGTTTAATAATTTAATGAGTTTAAAATTATGTTAAACCTTGGCTTATTTATATAACGAGTCGATTTCGAATAAGTTTTTAATAAGCTAAACACGAGTTAAGTTTGAGTTGTTTAAATTTTTATAATGCCCAAAAACTTATTGAGTAGTAAATTGTTGAAGTTTAACTTTACATAAGGAGTTAATTGTTGAAGCTTAACTTTACATAAGGAGTTAATTTTGAGCAAATCTTTAACGAGTTGCGCACAAATCAAGCTCAAATAAAAGATCTCGATTTTAAAATTTTGCCTTAAACCTCAAAAATTTTAGGATTAACCTTGAACCTATGTTAGTTCATAAGTGATTGCTTTCTTATTATTTCTTACTGTGATAGGAACATTACAATATGATCAATATTTCTCAATTATTATTCATAAAAATTGCTACCCAAAAATCATGTGTGTCAATTTGCAACCACACTGCCAATCAAGCACTCAGTTGGAGAACATTGGTAGAATAGATTAAACCGAACGACCTGTCAACAAAAAGAAAAGATTCTGGCGGTAGTTCGTCCACCCGGGGGCACTCCGACGATCAAGTCAGTTATCTCTCAAAGATAGCAAAAGTGCTTAACTCACTATTTAGAGCATAAAAAACATACCTTAGACCCATGAGGGTGCCTCTCTTTTATAGCCAACACAAACCTAGTTCCAATAGAAGCCCAGCTTCAATGGACTTAGGATTACTGCTAATCTTGAACTCCCAGTAGGATTGGGATAAACTCTCTAAGAGTCTTATCTTTACCCAAACTAAAGTCTTCTCCCATTCTAGGACTCTTGTCCCTTATCCGCTTATTTCGGATTCCAGTATTCTTGCAGATAACGTCGGCCTAACCGAGATCATCTTGGTATCATGACCAGGACACGTGGCACCTCGGCTGGCACTTCGGTGACACCTCAGCCGGCACTTCAATGACACCTCGGCCACATGTTGTCATTCAAAAATTATGTCCCCACAACTACCCTTTAGGTTCTATTATCTCGGCATCCTGAGGTGATGGAACCTATATCATTCCTTCCTTTAATAATAACCCTAGTTTAACTTCAACTTGTAAATTTTTAAAATTTCAACAAGTGTTAAACATGACCTCGGTTTAACTTCAACTTGTAAATTTTTAAAATTTCAACAAATGTTAAACATGACCTCGGTTTAACTTCAACTTGTAAATTTTTAAAATTTCAACAAGTGTTAAACATGTCCTCGGTTTAACTTCAACTTGTAAATTTTTAAAATTTCAACAAGTGTTAAACATGTCATCGGTTTAACTTCAACTTATAAATTTTTAAAATTTCAACAAGTGTTAAACATGTCCTCGGTTTAACTTCAACTTGTAAATTTTTCTTAAAATTTCAACAAATATTAAACATGGCATCGGTTTAACTTCAACTTGTAAATTTTTAAACATGACATCGGTTTAACTTCAACTTGTAAATTTAAATTTCAACAAGTATTAAACATGACCTCGGTTTAACTTCAACTTGTAAATTTTAAATTTCAACAAGTGTTAAATATGACATCAGTTTAACTTCAACTTGTAAATTTTAAATTTCAACAAGTGTTAAACAGGACCTCGGTTTAACTTCAACTTGTAAATTTTAAATTTCAACAAGTGTTAAACACGTCATCGGTTTAACTTCAACTTGTAAATTTCAATTTCAACAAGTGTTAAACACGTCATCGGTTTAGCTTCAACTTATAAATTTCAATTTCAACAAGTGTTAAACACGTCATCGGTTTAACTTTAACTTATAAATTTTTCTTAAATTTCAACAAGTGTTAAATCGATCTTGGCTTGAAAATTCTAACTCCCAAGCATCATTCTCCAGCCTTCTGTATGGCTTCCACCTACTCCTTTGTGGACCTTATATAGAAAGTCTTTCACTTAGGCTGAGCTTTTCTCTTCTCGAACTTAATTATCTAGGCCGAGATCTTATCTTCTAGAATCTGGGATCTGCTCACTTTAGGCTGAGCTCTTCTCTTCTCGGACCTAATCATCTAGGCTGAGATTGTGTCTTCTGGGATTCTCCATGCCCGACCTCCCTCAAAGGCCGGTGAGAATGTTCCTTGGTCCCGCCATGCTAAGGGATTGCAGGAATCGTTTTCTGCCCCTCTTTCTGGGCACCTTTCTTGGCCGCTGGAATCGGCGTATCTTGTAGCAGGAACGGTGGCTGCATGACGTTGTTCTGCATCATGAAATTGACGATCGTTTGCAGGTCCGCCAATTTGTTCGCCATTTCTTTCATTTCGTCATCCCTCCTCAGGCATCTATCTTTCCATACCTGGAGGTCGTTCTCGTTATAATACCCGCTCCGATCCGATTTCTTCGGTACGCCACCCTCCTGGCTGACGTCCTTTCCTCCGTGATTCTTATCACGAGTCTCTTCGTTGCAGTTGTCTTCTTCGATGTCAAGGTCAATATGTTTCCCACTCTCAGTAGGGGTGTCGTCTCCAACCTTCTCTTTCTGTCCGTCGTTGGCCATCTATTCTCCTTTCTTTCCTACAGACGGCGCCAAATTGTGTGTGTCAATTTTCGACCACACTACCAATCAAGCACTCAGCTGGAGAACACTGGCAGAATAGATTAAACCCGAACGACCTGTTAACAAAAAGAAGAGATTCTGGCGGTAGTTCGTCCACCCGGGGGCACTCCGACGATCAAGTCAGTTATCTCTCAAAGATAACAAAAGTGCTTAACTAACTATTTAGAGCATAAAAAGCATACCTTAGACCCATGAGGGTGCCTCTCTTTTATAGCCAACACAAACCTAGTCCCAATAGAAGCCTACTTCAATGGACTTAGGATTACTGCTAATCTTGGACTCTCAGTAAGATTGGGATAAACTCTCTAAGAGTCTTGTCTTTACCCAAATTGAAGTATTCTCCCATTCTAGGATTCTTGTCCCTTATTCGTTTATTCCGGATTCCGGTATTCTCGCAGATAACCTCGGCTAAGTCGAGATCATCTCGGCATCATGACCAGGACACGTGGCACCTCGGCTGGCACTTCGGTAACACCTCGGTCACGTGTTGTCATTCAAAAATTATGTCCCCACAGGTATTATTATAATTTTCTATTTTTCTATTCTTAAAAAAGTGGATTTTTTTTTTCAAATTAACGTAAAAAATTTATTTGATAAATTATTTATTGACATGGGTAAGCCCATAAAGATTATACCCCACCATTTAGGGCTCAATACAAAACTCAAATACTAAGGCCCAGCACTGCCGAAGCCCCACGTAGCAATAAGAACCAATGACATCAAGACACATGTCAAGAGAAGGGCAAGCCACATAAGCAGACAAAGATCTACAAAATTATTGCCACTGCACATCGCCATTAATGAAGCCCCTCACAGCATTTATTACGACAACCCCTCTCCGTCGTGACAGAACGGCTTCACTATGAACAAGGCAAGCTAGAGCATAGACTTTTGGCCAAGGTAACAGGTCGGAAGGGACAACGAAATGATTACAAGAGGATATAAGCAGACGTCGAAGATAGGAAGAAGGTTAAGCTTTTCTATCTCTAATCTATCTACACATTCCACTTCTCTCTCTAACTTGCTCGTCGGAGGGTTCGCTGGGGGACTCCCCGTTCCCCGTTGAACTTTTGTGCAGGTTCTCCCGTGGGCTTGATCACTCGGACATCGGTTTGGAAAGCGTGGATCAGCCCGACCCGTTCCATCTAGAACCCGTTGTATCATCAGTTGGCGTCGTCTGTGGGAAAGGTTTTTGTTCCGCGCACTAGTTGTATTCATTGTCGCCGGAGACCCTCTCCCAATAACCCTCTCCTACCACCTGTGAAGGTGGATGGTCACAACTAGATCCATGGCTTCTCACCCCAATGTTCCCAATCATCAAACCGACCCTCCAAATCCAAATAACCCACCACAGTATTTCACCGAGCTCACCAACAGCATTAATCGCTTGGTCGAGCAAAACCAAGCCCTAATTAATGCTCTACTCCAAAGAAACCTTTTTATGCCTCCTCCACCACCTCCAGATATTCTACCCAACCAAGAACAAGCCCCGAGCCATACTATCCAGCTGCCTTATCCACCCAACTTGGAAGGCTTGCAACCTCCTCCCTAAATATAAATCCACCACCCCGACCCCCACATCCATCGGTCGTGGCACCAACCCCTGAAGGAGAGGCCAGTAGCGTCTAGCCCCCGCTCCCCTCCGGTGGTGACAACATTCCTCTCTGGGATGCAGAACATCGAGCCATGAAGTTCCAACTCCAAGGGGTCATGCAGAACAT